CGGCGGTGTTGTTGCCCGTGCCGTTTTTGTTTGTGAGGTATGGGCCGGCGTTGAGAAGGGCGTCGAAGATGATTGATGGGTGACACATTATTCATATATGGTATACATACATACATACACCATAAACTACTTAGCCATTATTTACCTCAAAATATAGATGCCAAAAAACCTGATGAATGGAGAGGACTATATCCTCGCCTCCAACACCCCCATCTCCATCCCCTCATTCTCACTCCCCACCCAACACTTCACCAGTCTCAGTCCAGCCCTCCCAAGTAACTCCGCATATTCCTTCTCCGTCCTCTCTGCCCCCGCAAAACTTACCATCATACTGAGATCCCCAATCGCAGCCATCAACCCGCCCCCCGTCTCCGGAATAACCTTCTCCACAATCAACAACACTGACTCCTCATCCATCGCCTCCCGTACTCTGCTTAAAATCTTCACTACCTCCTTATCAGGCCAATCATGCAACACAGTGCGGAGCATGTACCCCTTCGCTCCCTTGACAGGCTGCTCCGTGAAGAAGTCATACCCTTGACTCTCTATTACCCCATCAGGTAGCTCCGCATCAGCGACAACATGCGGCAGGTCCTGCAGAATAAGTCGGCCGGGGAGGTCCGGGAAGGCGGAGCGGAAAGCGAGGAGGTCTTGGCCATGGCTGCCGCCGATGTCTACCATGAGTATTGAGGAAGGGGTGGGGTTGTCGATATGGAGTTTGTCGGTTACCGGGAAGAGCTTGAACCATGGTTGACCTGCGCGACGGATTGGGGACTTCATGACCGTGTTGAAGGAGGATTGGTAGTAGGGCTTTGTGGACAGGTAGTCGAAGTAGGGGGAAGATGTGCCGGCAGCGAATTGGAAGGGCGTGTTGGTTAGGTCGTTGGGGTTGGTCCAGTTGTTTTTGGCGAAGTATTCTGGGAGTTGGGTGAGGAAGGTGTGGAAGTGGGTGCTGGGGTGGTGTTAGTTGGGAAACGGGATCTCTTGGGGAGATGGGGGAATACGGACAAGTGGATGATGGCTGCTGCGAGTGGAGAGGTTGAGATGTAGGATGAGGAGAGAGGAGTAGGGGTGAAAGTGTCAGCGGTGTGTTGTTTCAGGGTTCCCATGGCGGAGAGGAAGCGCATGATTCGGCCTGGATGTTTGGTTAGGTTGTGGGTTTTGATTGAGAGGAATGAATAGACTTACCGAGGAGGACTGGGTCTGCTTTTGTGTCGCTTGCTATCTGGGCTACAGTGACTTTGCCTGTCTCATTCTGGGATGAGTGGTGGATGACTGAGTCAAAGAGCTTGAGGTCGATGGCTAGACGAAGAACCATGGTCTGGTGTTCCTGTTCTCTTATTAGTATCGAGCAGTGCATAATGAGAAATTGAACATACTGTGAATAGTAGCCTGAACATTGTTTCCAGAGGAGATTCGCACATCGCCTTCAATCTGTCGCATGCAGACGACAGCTCCGCACGCTGCTGCTCATCTATACTGTTCAGTTCGCCACTCGAAGTGACGGCGTTGATGGACTTGATGAGGTCGGAGACGCTCATCTTGCAGATCTTCTGAATACGAATACAGTAATAAGCGGGAAAACACCTGATAACGTTCTGATGTCCCTCTGGTTTGATGATGCGCGTCATCACAGCCTTATATACGAGCAAAGCTCGGTAGATCGGTGTCCGCCCCCGAGCTAATTTCCCGACCCCGTCCCCGCGCCCGAACTTTATCCCCGGGCGTGCACCGAGGCCGATTTCCCTAGCAGCTGACGGCTTCTCTCGAGCATGCAATAACAAGTGTGGGACTTCTTGGACTAAAGGGTTAACGAAATCGTGATTGTGCAGCAGGCAATTGGCGTGTCGAGTTACAACCTGTTTCAAGGCCTGAAGCAGTCATGGAGAGCCTACGGAGATCAGGTCACGGTCGGCTTATCACAAATTCCAACTTGTTCTATACCATCCATCTAATCTATATATCTCTTCTATCATTCCGCCCAACCCAACATCCCCATACCACTCATACCCATCTCCATCATATTTATAAACCCAACCTAGTAATACGTATGTTCACCAAAAGGGTTAAACCGCGCATTCAAGGCATGGCACCCATGCTTGCACAGCAATAGATGACGTCCACGAAGGAAGTCGCATCACACTCAAGCCGAAATAGCCGTGGCCCATTTACTCCGCTTCCGCAGTGACGGGCCCCAAAAGGTCAGTACGTAAGGAATAGGCGCAGCCACCGCACTGATAATCCCAAGAACAGTGAGCGTCCAATGAGTGCCAAGATTCCGGTACATCGGGATTCCGACCACCGTCATTCCGCCTGCAGCGAGGTATCGAACCAGTGCAACAAAGGTCAGTGCGGATGCTGCGTACTGCTGATAGGAGTCGATGATGTACATGTAGGCTGACAGGAAGATACAGATAACTCCAAAACCGACGGCGATCGAGGCTGCTAGTGGAGACCAAATCGCGATGGAGGGCTAGGGTTGTTAGCATACTGCAGTGAACACATTCATAAAGGCGAAAGAAGTAATCATACATAGTCAGTCCATCCCATCCAGAAGAGACCGATCGGAATGGCTGGGGCTCCAATTTGGGCGAAAAAGAGTCGCGACTCTCTGTCCACCATGCGACCGGAGCCGTCATCACCTGCGTCTCGCAACTGCTTGGCTGTTTTGCGATAAAGGATTGGGACGAGGATCATGCTGCAGAGGATTCCGATAAAAAGACCCAGAAAGCAGATATTAGCCAGGCCTTCGTTGATGCCGTATGTGTTGGCAAAGATGTAGACATATCTGGGCGAGTTAGTAGAGCCCGTGGATAGCAATGCAAACGGGTTGGACAGGGTGCATACCCGTCCAGGAACGTGAACAGGACAATGTAGACAATGGTCAAGTAAAACGTGAAAAAGATCACGATTGGCTCCATGAGGAGTAGCCAAGGACGAGTGAAGTTCCTCTTCAACACGGGCAGCAGGCTTCCTGATCCCGAGGCCTCGCCGGCTGTCTTGAACCGCGCATCACCGGTCGCTTCGCGGAAAAACTTGGCTTTGTAGTACAAGAGCTGAGGCGCAAATGTTTCGCGTTTAAACAGAAATATGATGGCTATCACTAGGACATCAAAAATGAGCATGATCCATTCGGACCATCTCCAACTGATGCGGGGACTGTATCCGATGTATGCTCCCACAACGGGTCCTGATAGGTCCGATGGTCAGTTTGACTCGACACCATCAATTTCCGGTGGTGTGGAGTGGATGTTGCTGCGATACACTTAATGATACTTACCAAGGATGGGTCCGCCAAAACCCGGGATTGCAAAGATGGGGAACCCGAACGTTTTCTCCAGGGTACTCCAGACGTCGGAAATCGAACCACCGGCGACAGTCAAGGGCGCAGAACCACAAAGCCCTGCCAGAAAGCGAAAGACTAACTGGGACCCAAAATTCGGAGCCAACGCAGCACCTAGGATCCAGGAGCCGAAGATTACCAAAGCGCCGATGTAGACGGGGAATCGGCCAACGATTTCAGACATCGGACTGGCGATAAGCGCACCGACTCCAAATCCAATAAGGTACAGACCAGTTGCGAGTGACTCGGCGACTTGGGATACTCCAAAATGCTGGGAGGCTTCGGACAGAACGGCGGAATCGATGGCCGATGCCATGGTGGTCACCAAGGCGATCAGGCAGACACACATGGTGGAGGCGACTCGGCGGGCATGCGACCATTGCTGCGGGTTGAAGGGATCGTGGGGAGTCGCCCAGGACACCTCATAATACTTTTCACCGTTACAATCCGATTTCAAGGAAATTCCAGGGATTTGAGAGGGATCTCTGATCTTACTCGGTGGATGTCCAAGAGGCTGCGGCGATGCGTGTTCGGAGGAGGATGACTCGTGCTGGGCGCGACTGGCGTCATCGACCAGCTCGTTCACGTATCGTCGCAAGCCTCGATATTGGTATATAAACGCCATGTTTCTGGTGTTGGCGGCGGTTGGGGGTCGTGTATGGCGAAAACACGGGTTCCAGTCGAATATAAGGTGGAAAGCAAATCCCGAATAGACGCGTTCGGGACTGGGTATTGATTTATAATCCAGAAGAGGCTAGATAGGTAGCACAGTCAAGTTGGCAGTGGCCATTGAGAAGAAGCCATTCCTATTCCCACTTTTCCCGGCCGAAAGCAGAAGATCTGCACGGCGGGTGATTCCGCCCTTTTCGGGCACCGATAAACTGCTCAGGGTAATTTACTCCGCGCTCTTCCTAATTCAGAAGCATCGCCCGGTAATCCAATCAGGTGCTGTTCTTGTTCTTACTGGGGCTGGGAGACTTACTATCCGTAAGTGACTTAGTATTCCCTAACTACGTGTGAAAAGTATGTACGGTGACTACATTATTCCATTTCCTACATGCATGGCAAGACACGTCAGGATAGAGGTTTCTCCGATAGATTCAGATGATCAGAATAGTTAGACAACTCATTCAGACGGTGCTAGTCCATACCCCGGGCAGACCCCAATGACGACCTGCCCTTTGGTAAATCTGGGAACAGCTTCCAAAAGTCGAGGTATCCCGAGGAAGTATGCAAACTCCGGGGTATTATCCCCTCGTTGCACCATGATATGCGGTATTGGCCCATGTTGTAATTGGCAACGTCCATACGATCGACTCGATCGCCATGCTCATGCCACCTCTTCCCACACGATCTGATAATCTCTCCGATGTCTTCCTCTGATACCTGTTGGTTCAAGTCAACACGTCGCTCACAGGAGCCACGTGATCATGTGGTCCCAGATCAAGTTTATCCACTTACATAGTCTTTTGGGGGTATCTCCCCGCTGACCGTTGCCATCGTATCCCTCATCTCATTAATACTCAGAACCTCGGTATACGCACACACACGCCTATTTAATGTCCTCGCATCTGATATGATCTGCGCGGCGTACTTCCCAATATCCGCCATATCCGTCAACCCAAACTACCGACTGCCATCGCCGATGATCCGATCGTCAATGTAACCCGAATAGGCGTGGTCCGACCGACCGGATGGAATTTCGGGTACCCAATCCTGCACCAACATCCAACGTCGATGAGAGTGTACGGAAGGCCCACCCGTTGAACAACACGAGGATTATGAACTTCTCATCTTTGATGTCAATGATGCCTCTGGGTGCCGGTCCAACCCAGTCCGAAGGCACGAGCCGCTTTGCCCCTGCTTCTTTGGCGGCTTCGATCCATGGAACCTGAGATTCGAGATGTTCCCAGGTAATGCATGAGATCAGGACATCAATTCCCTTTAGTTGATCTACTAGGACCCCCCGAGGACCGTTCAGGTCGTAGCCGACATTTTTGACGCCTTTGGCTTTGAGGGTTTTGTTTACTTGGCTATCGACTAACGCTTGTATAAATGATGTGATAGTCTGCTAGAATCGTCAGTCAAGGTCATGACACATTAAGAATGAGAAACAGATGTCATACAAACTTGGTCGGTGAAGTAAGTAGGCCATATACCACAGACCGGCCTCTTTTTCCTGTCGCACCTATCACACCCACAATAACTGGAGTTCCCATGCTTATCATTAAGTTATAACTCTGTGTAAGCGGTTACAACATGGGACACTGTTTCTTTTGAGAGGGTCGTTTTTATTATAGAGTCTATACATGATCTTCGGACGAAACGAGCTTAATAACTTCGGTCCTGGACTGTTAGCAGGGACTTCATCCGAACCAGAGTTGTGGGTCAGGATACCTCCGAGCTACCCAAGATGCCATATGTGATACCAGACTGACTGACTGTTGAGACATTTTGTTACTTGCAATACAGATGGTCGGCAATGAATATATGGCGTAAAATGAGGCCCCCCAAAATTGTCGAAGCCAAGCAATGTAAGGATTATATCAACATCATTGTCCCTTGGAATGATTCACTCGTGTTATGTCCGATCAGAAAATTCAAACGGATTGAATACCAGTCCATATTAGGACTTGTCTATAAAACTCGCCTGTACCCACTTAGAGGCTATGCCGCATTGCTCGGATTAGTTTTGCCTTTCTTTCATGAAATGGCTACTAATATTACATTGGCCGTGCGGGGTTGGAAACACTCCTCCCCCTGAAGGATGCAAAGAGTATTTCAAAAGAAGCCTTGTGGGCGGAAAGGGCCACTTGCCCCAACCTCACAACTCCGCCGTAGAAGAATAAGACGCTCGAGACACTAGTAGTTGCATTAGCTATTCTTTGACAGGGATACACCCCCGTTGGGCGCTAAATAGATCAGACCGTATTTGGTGGGGTAACTGACTCACTTACGTGGCAGGCTGACTGACCGACTGCAGTCCTTCTGAACCCCCAGCCCCTCATCATCCACATCACATGTCAGTTCATCGTCTGTCCTGTCACTATACCCCTTCCGAACTGTATAGTAAAGATGAAGTTGTCTTAGTATACTTGAATCTTGAAGTTCAACGCCTACTCTCTGCTCGTTCCTTAAGAATGCGCCTTCTTTCCGAAAGACGCTCCGCTACGGGCAGTTTCATCATCGAACTAGAAGAATTTCCAGATGTACCATCTGATAAGTACGCCATTCTCTCTCACACTTGGGGTAAGGGAGAGGTTAGCCTCTACGACTTGCAATCTGGACTCGCCGGGAATAAACAAGGGTTTAAGAAGATAAGAAAGTGCTGTGCCAAAGCGTTAGATGATGGATTCAAATACACGTGGATCGACACCTGCTGTATAGATAAAACAAGCAGCGCCGAGCTATTCGAGGCAATCAACTCGATGTATCGATGGTATCAGGAAGCTGACATATGCTATGTATATCTTGATGATTTTCAGTCGGAATGTGACACATCGAGTAGCCGATGGTTTACGAGAGGATGGACGCTTCAGGAATTGATTGCGCCACAAAGGATGAAATTTCTCAATAAAGAGTGGAAAGAGCTTGGGACTAAGGAAAATATGCAGGCTCTCTTATCCGGAATTACTGGTATTCCAAGCGACATTCTCACAGGCAGGAAGGATCTTGAAAGTATCAGCATTGCGCAAAGAATGTCATGGGCAGCACGACGGGTTACAACCAGAATCGAAGATCAAGCATACTCTCTTTTAGGCATATTTGGTATCAACATACCACTAATTTACGGAGAAGGAAAGAGGTCTTTCATTCGTCTCCAAGAGGAGATCTTAAGAGTGAGTGACGACCAGAGCATTTTCGCTTGGAAGTCTCCTGGAGAGCATCATGGCGGGCTATTGGCAAGCTCCCCCGGTGCATTCCGAGACTCAGCCAACATTGTTTCACATAACGCTTTTTCCAGGTTGGACAAACCTATTACTCAGAGCAACAAAGGGATTCACCTGGAGCTTCGTCTGATCGGAAAGGCTCCGGGACTGGCCCTAGCTATTCTTAATTGTATCGATCGTGCAAAGGGCGACCTTCTGGTCGCTTTATATCTCAGAGACCCTTTCATGACAATGGAGCAATTCGAAAGAGTCCAATGCACAGAGCTTAACTATACAGACCTACGAAAATACAAATGCACACAGTATCCCATGAGAAGGATCTGTGTCAAGCAACGCCGCCTGACAGATCTAAAGCAGCAAGCCTTGTCAGATGTTCAACTCAATATCTCTGAGAATAAATCAGTGGAGGACATAATCGGAGACCGAGAGCGTACTAAGCACAACTCGATGGAGAATAATTGGGAAATACTCAGTTCATTCACAGCTAGAGGGGATATTGATTCATTATGGGTGCTGCTAACCTGTTGTGATTTTTTCCCTGAGTATCATTAATATCAGGGAAGATCACTGTTATCAGAAGCAGCCTATCATGGCCATGTACCCATAGTGAAGCTTTTACTCGCTCGGGACGACCTTGAGTTCGATGCTTGCGACATAGATCACCGAACTCCCCTTTCATTTGCTGCTTCAGCTGGCCATGTCTCTGTTATCCAACTACTACTAGAAACGAGCAAAGTCAGTATTGACTCAAGAGATGTCGACGACCTCACCCCTCTCGCCTGGGCGGCCCAGAATGGTCATGAGAAGGCAGTGATCTCATTGCTTGAAAATGGTGCTTACGTTGATTCAATGAATGATTGGTGGTGGAAGGCGGGGATATCAATTCCAAAAGGAGAGATACCATTGAAAACAGCTTGTACACCACTGTGTTTGGCAGCAAGGAATGGTCATTATGGAGTGGTGAGGCAGCTGCTGGCAAGTGGTGCTGATATCAACACAATGGATTTATGTTCCGGCCGTACGCCATTATCTTTTGCGGCGGGAAATGGCCATAATAAGGTGGTCCAACTTCTGCTAAGCAAGGGCGCTGGGGTTGAATCCAAGGATATTCAGTTCGGCCGGACACCACTTGCATGGGCAATGGAGAACGGCTATTCAGAAATCGTACAGCGACTGCAATCCGAAGGTACTGATACGCACACAAAAGATAATCAATGAGGCTGTGGCACGTCTATTCCTTTCAGCACCTGTTTCTCATCTATTATTATTTTTTTTTCTCTATTCCTCGTTCTATCTTCTCATCCTCTTCCTACTGATTGTTGTACTCCCAAATGTTGCAGGATCCTACGTGAGCTCTTTGGGTTGTTCCCATACAATGTCAGGGTCTAAGCCTACTCACAATGCTTGTTCATGTTGCATCTTAATTTACGAGTGCTATGTAGGTAAGTCGCTAAGCATACTGCTCTATGTACATAAACGAGCCTCACATACCCGGGACACCGAAAATAAAACCATGTGTCCTCAAACGGAAAAATGGGGATAGAGGAAACCATCGTTACGGGATGCCTTTGTGTTACAAAAGTTACCCCTCACCCAATCTTCGCATAACGCCAATTCCAGCAATTAGTCTCTTGATAATTCTAGTACTGCATTAGCAGCCGATAGCAGGGGAGTTTCTGCACAGCGAAGTGTAGCTATTGAGAAATATGTATAGGTGAGTCCATAGGGCTCGGGACATGGGATCTTCCCCAATATTTTTCCGCTCATCCTAAAATAATATATATGCCCTTGATCCAAGAGACGTAATACTGCATATTGGATACAGCCACAATACCTTCATGATGCAGCAAGACCCTCTTTATTTAATGGCATTTTTTTACATTAGCCATGAGGGTATCTGCCACTCTTCGGTCCAAGGTATACTGCTGGACTTTCTGGATAATGTGAACTTTAATGCAAGAAAGCATACCAGCCATCATTTGGACATCCTAACAAATATTTGTCCTGTTATACTGAAGCGATCTTTCGAGAATCTTTGACTGAGCTTTCATACCACGAGTACGCAAGATTCGTAGGATGCGACGAATATATATCTAGTATTGGTAGGTGGCTCCGCAAAAGTTTAGTACTGGCGACCTTCAGAACGACACCAAAGAATTATAAAGTATCTAGCACTAATGCAGACTTATACTGCAGCTTGTGCCTTTATATGTGTCCCCATTGGACCACGAACATCTAGAGTACGCTGGGAACCATAACTATGTCAACTAGCGAAGAGTCAACATGACTAACTACTCTTTTCTACCGCCTAATGCGGCAGAAACTAGTCGACCTCGACAAAAAAAGTGCGGATATAAGCGGTTATGGTCGGGTATAAGTTTCCTACACCTCCGAAAAAGTGAGTCAGCATTCTGTATACTTCTCTACCGCCTTCCCGACTGGTCGCTGTGGGAAGAATCCACTTTCCACTGTCGTTCCCTACCTGTCTATACATATAGTATTTCCAGAGTGGACAAGAGAAGTATTCCTTATAGATTTACATAAATATATCCTGGTGTGTCTTTGATTGTGGGTTGACATTGAACCATCTAGTCCGAGCTATTGTGTTGCTCTTCGACCCCTTCAGTGACATCCATCACTCACCAGCCTAGTTTCTTGGCCTCCTCTCCGCTCACGTCGTCAGGAATATCCGTAACATACTGTAAAACCTCTGGAACCTCTACCATCCACTCTGGCCGACGCTTAGTCCACACCTCTGCCACCGGCTTGGGAATATCATCAAAGAGACCAAACATTAGGACTATTCTTGTTAATTTCACACTCGAAACTCTTACAAGGGGAGCGGAGGATAGGGAGTGCACTGACGTGATTTCCCGGGCAAAACAGTCTCACTTTGGTACATGATCGGACTACAAAGAGATTAGCCAGATTGGAAACACAAGGCTCCCATTGCATGTACTGACCATCCGCAGTTATAACAGAAGTATCGATCCAGTGGTCGGCCGCAGGCGGTGTTGGTGTCGAGAAATTTCTTGGGACGACCGGTCAAGACCATGTCTTTGTTCTCCACCACGACGACATAGGTGCCGGCTAGTGGAATGTTACTTAGGCAATGTTGGGCTAGGAAGTAAACACGAAGAAGAGAGGAGGTGGTAAATACCGGCACCACTCTGCTTTCGACAATTGAGGCAGTAGCAGATCATCACGCCACCCCCAGACGGTGTGGGATTGTCCATGGTGATGCGGATGCGCCCGCAGTTACAAGAACCCTTGACAACCATGATGTGCCACGCTTGGTGAGATTCTGTGTAAGGGGGCAAAAGGGGTCAGAAGGAACTGTAGTAAAGAACAGTGGATATGAATTCCGGCTTGAAGTGCGTGTAAGTCTGGAAGCTGGACTAAAAGAAGACTTGGGCCGGTTTTATCGTCGTCAGGCGTACGGCGGTCTACCGGTGTTGGTAATGGCAAGGAGCGAGCATCATCTGGAACGCCCTATTTATCCAAGAAAACATACAGAATATCACCCTTGGCATTCTAGGGATTGAAGGTTTAATCTTGTTACAGACACCCACTATACGTGAAGGAACCGAATAAAGAAAAACTAGGTAAAAGTTAATTTCTCTGGAATTTAAGAATATTAGACCTGGGGTAATGTATCTGTCATAAATGATGGGAAAGTAGCATGGTACACTTTCTATGATGTATTCAGTATATTCTACACAGATAGTCAAATACAGAGCTCGCTGTACATTCGATCCCTGTTTATAAGATTATAGAAAGAGCAATTGTATGACACAGAGATAGCAATACCTAGGAGCATAGAAGAAAAAGTGCAGCTCATGTGACATACTTCACGCTGAAAACGTCTACCAGTGTAGAGGCTTTTGATATTCTTCAGGTTTTGTCCATTGATTCAGGCTTTTACAGAAACCAAGATTCCTAGTACAAGGCAGGGTACACTTTCTGCAGAGCTGCTCCACTCATTAAACAGCCGCAGCAGGTTGAATTAGGTTACAGTGAATACGTATACTATTACTACTGATGGCAAGGAGCGGTCAGAGACATCCGAGCAAGGGCGGAGAGGTGCATATGCTGGCTTAATCCTCCTGGCAATGTTGCGAAAGTCTAGAACCTCATGCAACTACTACCCCGCCTACGTGTGTAGCCAGGCAAGGGGGCGTTTTGCCGGTAGAGTGATGCAGGGTCACACACTCCGGCTCAAACGCCGCGCGGAGATGAACCCCAATCTGACAGTTGTTTGAGTTAAATAGCACGTTAGCAGTAGTGTAACTTATACCCGTCTAGTTGATAAACGTAAATTGTCACTACTACACATACATCATGCGCGAAGTTTTAAGCAGCGACCCTGCGTACCAAAGCCGCTCAGCTTGGGAGCGACTGGCGGAGGCAGTGGAAAGGCACCCTGACCATCTGGCACTGATCTGCGCGCATCAACGCGCTGGCCTCTATGGGCTTGGAGATCAAAGCCACGAACATCATGGCCAATGGAGTTTTGGAGCGTTGTATGAAGGCATCGTCCGCGTTGCTACCTCCTTGGAGTCGCTAGGTCTCTCGGATGATTGTCTGCTTTTTGTGATCCTCGGTAATAGTTTGGAACATGTCCTCACTACCTGGGCTGGATACCGGCTTGGCTGCACCCACGTCTCCGTTCATCCAAACACTTTGTCCAACGCGGTGGAAGCACGTCATGTCGTCCAAACCGTCCTAGATAACCGCCCCAGCCCCAAGGCGGCCGTCTTTGTCCAGGATGAGGCGGCAGCGAAAGAGTTTGATCAACTGTTTCCCCAGCTGGATGTGATCAGAATTGTCATCAGAAATGGCCAGCCAGTCCCCTCTTGGACGAGTTTCGACCAGCTCATGAAACCAGGACAAACCCCATCAGGTCCATCAATATCACCCCCGTCGCGCGAAACCTCTATCTTCTTCTCCAGCGGAACGACATCGCTGCCAAAGCCATGCGAGATGAACGTCCCCGCCTGGATCAGCTCCCTGGCCAGTGGGTCAACGCTGGGCTTAGTCCGCCCAGGGGACCGACTGATGTCGCTTGTTCCATGTAGCCATGTGCTTGGCTATATGGGCCAGATGTTTGCCCTCACACATGGGGCTACACTCGTCTACCCTTCCTATTTGGCCTTCGATCCACGGACAACGATAGAGACTCTCCGCGGTGTTCCCTGCAAGTACATAGTCATGGTATCAGCGCTGGTGCATGCCTTCATCAGTGCGGACCTCAGCTCGACTCCACTTCCTCCGATTGACACAGTCATTTTTTCCGGAATGACCCTGTCCACCGCCGTTGCCAAGGAGTTCCAGACGAGGGTGGGCACGAGAGCAATCGAGAATCTTTACGGCATGACGGAAGGAGCATTTTGCGCCACTGGTCCTGTGGAAGACCTCGAGAGCATCTCGCGCGACGGGTTCCTGGCAGCCGGACGTCCCATGGCAGGTTCTAAACTTCGTCTTTGCGCCCCGAATAGCACGGAGCCTCTGTCACTAGGTGTGGCGGGAGAGGTGCACTACAGCGGCTATCAGACTGCTCGAGGTTATATCGGGGTGCAGAGTGACTCATTCTACATTGATGCGAACGGATGTCACTGGTACAAGACTGGCGACCAGGCTATTATATATGAAACAAACGGTCTCGTCTACCCTGTTGGTCGGTACAAAGACCTCATCATCCGGGGCGGCAAGAACATATCGCCCTCTGCAATTGAGGCGGTACTCAACCGAGACCCGGAAGTGCATCAGCTCAATCCCCAGGCCGTCCCTCTGCCCGATGCCGTGGCAGGCGAAGTTCCGGTCATTGTCGTAAATTGTGAAATCACACAGCCGAAGGTGCAACACATCATGCATCTGATCCTAACACAGATGGGTGCGGCGTATGTTCCTGATAAGGTTATCCCCATCCAAACGCTCGGGACTGCAAATTATCCTCGCACGACCTCGGGCAAGGTGCAAAAGGTCAAGCTCGCAGCCCTGGTGCGTCAGTATGCTGCCACTCAGTCCGATGCCCCGGTGCCGTCGGCACCTAGCAATCCCGGAGAGATACGCCAGCGTGTGACGCAGCTCTGGGCGGATGTCTTGGCAGCCACGACCGAGGAACTTGACGTGCAGGCCACGCTTTCGGAACGCGTGGATAGTATCACCTTGATGCGGGTGCATTCCAGAGCGACCAAGCTCACCGGCAGACATGTCCCATTCGCGGCTTGGGCGAGCGCCAAAACCATTGCGGACCAAATCCTGCTTCTGGAGACCGCCGACGACCAGCAAGAAGAGTCATATCCCCTGGCTCACAGTGAGGGCCACGCTCGGGTTGGGGGACCTACATTGGAGGACATGGTGCACCTGCTGGGTGATGCTAGCCGACTCCCTGATACGCAAGCCTTGGTCCAACAAGCCATTGCGCCTTATCAGCTCACTTGGGATGATGTTGAAGACGTCTTCCCAGCCACTGACTTCCAACATATCATGCGTCAGGCTCACTTGATTGACTACTGGGAGTTCTTCGTCTGTATACACACCCGAGGGCATTCTGTTGCAGATCTGCGCAAGGCCCTAGAGGCTACCTTGCCTCTTCATCCCATGCTGCGATCATTTGTCGTGCAAGAGGACGAAAACCAGACTCTGCTGGTGACTGTCCGCCCATCACCATCGATTCTGGATCGCTGCATTGTTGACTACGGTGAGGTCGCGACATTGAACGACGTGCACCGTTTAGTAGTCAATTTTCCCCAGGAGCATCGGATCGCCTTGCCCGGACCTTTGTTTTGCGGATTGATGGTGTATGTAAAGGAGATAAAGAGTGCCGTCCTTGTTGCAGACTGTGAGTGCCTTCCCTCAAATCCGTCCGTGGTATCCGTGCTTATTTGTGTCTTTTCACAGTCTGCCATTCCGTCATGGACGCCACGCACCACGAAATCTTCGAAGATGATTTAGACCTCGCGCTGAGCGAACAACCACTCCGAGCGCATGCTTCGTACAAGGCCTGGAACGAGAGCTACTACCTGCTGCAGGACGCGCTGGCCAGCCGACCGGCTTTTGACTACCACCTTTCGCAGATGCAGCAAGTGCCAGATGGTCCAGTAGCACTATGGCCCACACCTAATCGCTCAATTGGCTCCTTGGCTAAACAACAGTCCCAAGGGTTGTACCTGCTCGAGTTCAAGCTACCGGCGTTGATGTCTCTGCACCAGCACCATCCGACCCTAATGACGTCGGTGGTGCTCAAGACGGCCCTTGCCCTGCTAACCATCTTCCATACCAAACACTCCGAGATGTTACTGCTCAACGTTGAAGCAGCACGGGGGCGCTTTCCCTTCCTTCCGTCCTCCTTTCCGCGTGAAGGCCCGCTGGACGGGGCCCGCGTTGCCGGACCTACGCTGACAGGCAACGTAGAGCGCATCACCTTTGATCCAAACGAGACAGTATTGCAATTGCTGTATCGCGCCCAAGCCCAGCAGGCTCTCATTACGCGTCATGCTAATGCACCGTGGAGGCGCATTCTCCAGGAATTGCCTCGTATGAAAGAGTTGTACCCTGCAGTAGCTGATCATTTAATTTTTAATTGGACGGGGACGACGACCTTCAAGGCGGATGACAAGAGACGCCTTCATGCGCATATTCAGCGACAGGAGATCTTCTTTCAGCCTACCTGTGGCTTGATGGTCGATGCTGGTGCTTCAGGGAAGGACGGTACTGATCTCTGTGTCTCCCTTACCGGCGCAGTGGCAAACAACTCGCCTGATTGGATTCGGAGCATTGCTCAGGGACTACAGGCGATTACGACGTGGCTGACGCAGCAAGAGAATTGGGAGAGACCGGTTGGATACTTTTCGGAGTGCCTTTAGAAAAGATGGTGGCGGTGTATGGGATAATCACGCAAAAAGGGTTTTGCGAAGCGGGTCTAGATGTTCTGCTAGTCTCAAATAACAAGGCCATATGCTCTTGCGCTGATCACTCTTGTGAATAACAACATGCATATTTAAAGTTTAATACTCGGTATGCATCTTACTATAGACAGTAGTAATGAATTTATCTTACTCAAATACTTGGAAGCCCTTTCTCCGCAGTCCATTGCGCCTGCAACGGATGTGAGCCACGGCCTCCACCAGGCAAGGGAGATGATGGGCTTTCCTATGTATGCCTCCCTTCACGGTGTGCTTGCAACGATGTCGTGACCCCCTGAGCCCAGGTTCCTACCTGGAAAGGCATGATAAGGCTTTCGTCTACCATTTCGCCAGATTGGTAGGCAAGGTTAAATACCTGGCGGCCACCGGCATGATCCTTGACCTCAAAGAATCCCATTCCCATCTCATCAACCATGACTGTCCCCAACGATAACCCCACCGGCGACCAGGCGGCCCATCCGCGGCAAAGCACCTGCTACAACAGCAAGTATCTGGCAGAATACTACGACTTGTGGATTGGAACATGGGACGATATCCAGTTGTATTCCCGTCTACTTTCGGAGATGGTAGCTCGCAGCTCTTCCAACAATCCAGTGAGGGTACTGGATGTTGGCACTGGCTCGGGACGAGTTATCCACGGCCTAGCCAGCACCCAGCAGCAGCAGGGGACCAAAAGCCGGCCGGAAGTACACTTTCTGGGCCTGGACAACGAGCAACATATGCTGGATCGAGCCCGCCTCCTGACCAACCCAGCGCATGTCGATCAAATGACCTGGGTACTGGGTTCGGCAGAGGAACTGGGATCACTGCCCGCCTTGCAGCATTCCGACGGATCAGGAGGCCTCATCGACATGATAGTGTTTGCCTGTGGCAGCATCTGCCATCTCTATGAAGCCGACCAAGGCACCCGGTTCTTCGAGCAGATAGCCAAGGTCCTGAAGCCCACCACTGGGCGCGCTTATATCTCCGTGCTGAAAGCGCTCACCGACGGCGGAGAGCCGCTCGCCCGCGCCATGGAACCATCTGAGCCAATTGTCACGTCGAGCAAGGAATTCCCTGGCATCGTCTACCGGGAGACTTGGCCCGCCCATCAACTGATAGGGAAGGTGTGGCATACTACTCGGCATATTGTTGTCTTGGAGAGGTCGGCAGATGGACAGGAAATCATCGTGGAGGATAATTTGGATATTCGCAAGGTTGGAGTGTGGACTGAGGCCGACGTGAGGGCTCGTGCTGCTGCGGCTGGCTTGGAAGTAGTGGACATTCTGGACCATCAGAATGACTCTACCCACGGAGAGCGCATCTTCGTTCTAGGAACCCTTGCATGATGCTGGTGGCTGTGACTATAAGGTTTCTGCGTATCTGGTGAGAGGAGGAGACCCCTGCCCTTGGGTCAAGTCCAGGGAAAGGGGAATGCTGAGTAGCAAATAGTTTACTAGCGAGAATATCACCCCTCTTCACTACTGAAAGCAAAAATGTCCAACTTGGTAAAGAGAATACTGTCTTCCTCTGGCAAAGCAACCGATTCCAGCTGTAAGTTGGATATTTCGTTCTTCGTGCTACTCGTTGCCTCCATTAGGTATTCAATACATGGCCTACTATTCTAGGGCCTTCTCATTAGGTATACAGAGTATATCTGGACAGAAGACCACCAGACAGTAAAGGAACCATATATGATGCCTTGGTCAGTAGTTTCATGTAGGTAGACAAATTCACTTATGGTCTAGTTTCATGATGACATGAAGTAAAACAGCGTTATCGGCAATAAAGAAAATGTATAACCGAGGTCTATTCTGCGAGCATCCTGTTACTTACTCATCCAAAATTCCATTCTATAGAACTACTGTAATCTCTATTATAATCAGAAGCCTATGGTTTCACGGCCACAAAAGAGCTCCCTGCCGTTATCTTCTCAGCCAGTATCCTCACTGGCTGGGAGCTGAGGAGCTCGAAGGAGGATAACGCGGCCCCCAGTTCTCGACTGACCCAGGTCTGCATCTCCGTAGCTTTCAGTGAATCCACTACAGTAATCAGCAGTTAGCACACACGACAACATTACTGTTCAGGAAAGAAAGTAGGAAACCAACCTCCTAAGGCAGACAACGGCAAATCGAGATCCACAGAATCAGTATTAGCGCCCATAGCCCGAGCTAAATAGCCCTGTAAAGCCTGGCTAACGAGCGATACCGCCTCGTCTACCGACTCAGCTTTTTTGAGTAGAAGGCTCGTCTTGACTGGTCCGGCTGCAGTTTCGGCTTCCGGATTAGCGATCCGCGCACGGTGATCGAACTTGCGGTCGAATTGCCAGGGACTAGCGCCGTCCTCCCTTGGAAGAACATCTACCAACCCGGCAATGATTTGAGCAGGCAGCGGGGATTGCATCCGGCCCTGGACAAGGAAGCGAACAAGAGCCTGTACCTCCGCCTGCGAAATCTCCGTCCCCAGTACATGCCGATATCGCTGGCGACGCTGCTCAGCGGACTCGGCTACATCGGTCACACCGCTGGCGTCTTCGACCAGTCCCAGGTTTATGCTACAGCCAGCGAGGTTATGCTGGTGCCGCCACTCCATCAGAGCATCCATGAAGGCATTACCCGCGGCATAGTTGGCCTGGCCCATGTTGCCAATCACGCTGCTGATCGAGGAGAGAGTGATGAAAAAGTCCAGCGCCCGGGGGGCTTGGAACGCCTGATGCAAATTCCACGTGCCTTGGATCTTAGCACGGGTTGATTGTTGCCAGGAGTCCCAGTCCATCTGCTCGAACATGGCATCTTTCAGGACTGTAGCGCATTGAATGATGCCGCGGATGCGCCAGTTGTGGTGTGTGGCATGGGTTAGGAGGTTCTGCACATCGTCTGGAGAGGCAACGTCGCAGCGTATCACCTCCGCGCGGGTTCCACGGGCGCGGAGTGCTTCCAGAGCTGCTTGTTGACTTGGTTGTGCAGCTCCAGAGCGACTCAAAAACACAATATGATGGGCCCCACTATCCACCAGAGCGCTGGCTAGAGAGAGGCCGATTGTGCCCAGCCCTCCGACCAGAAGGTAGGTGTTCTCACTGGGTAGTGGTATTGGCTCTGGTTGAAAAGGCACCACTGCCACGAGACTGGCGCCTGGAGATCAAGAATGACCCGGGTGCCAGAATTCCGCGCATGAGAGGAAGCCTCGGCCATCTGAGAGACTGGAAAGACAGGATAGGAAGCCACCTGCACGAGAGTCTTGTGTCCTGCTACGAGATCAACAGCTCGGTGAAAATTAGCTTGTACCAGGCGGGGAGTATCCCGAAGCATGCGGGCAAGGGAAAGTGAGGTGACAGTGCAGCCCTGCTCTATAATCTTCTGTGGTAGAGCGGAGAGTTGCAGGTCTCCACTCAGGTCAATATAGCGACCTCCAGATGCTAGACAAGACGCTGCTTGTCGGCTCACGGCACCCCCAAGGTTACAGATAGTAAGCTGAACACCTCGACCGCTAGTTAACCGGTCGATAGTCGTTGGAAGTGACCGGTGGAGGGAGATAATCTGGTCCTTTAGGACTGGGTACTGGGCGCGAAGCTCCTCCACGGCATTGTCCACGGCAACGAGCACCGTCATCCTTGCTGCCAAGGCACAGTGCACAGTGGCGCGGAGCGTCTGATCAGCAGAGCCTACGATTAGAACGGAGCTGGCGAATTGGTGCATGCTGTTCGCAAGACCAGTATAGGCGGTAGAATAAGCAACTGGCATGGAGAGAGATTGTGCGGGCCCTTGCTGTGGAGGACAAGTCCAGACAGAGCTCTCGGGCAGACGAACCCGAGTGGAGATGGTGTGGCCAGGTATTACACACAGCACCGTTTCACCAACCGAAAATACCGAGATCAGAGATTGTCCGACGTGGCAAACAGTACCCAGGGCCTCTGTTACTGGAACGCGAGCCTCTGTGGTCTTTCCTGTCGTAGAGGGAAGCGAGATAGCCTGGAGCTGAACTTCTACTTCATCATCCGCGATCGCAGTGGCGAGTCGATCGTCCATCTGCCACTGCGCTCCCTCAAGATCGGATGACTTGCCGTGTAGACGCAATGGCCGGTGATCCTCCGTCAACTCTGCTAGTATAGGCTTTGGGCCATGCACAGCTGCCTCCATCACTTTATCCAATGGGGAGGATGCAATAGCGCGTGGTATGTACAAGCGGCCGTCGCGCAATACGTACTCGTAATCCTGAGGTCGCGACCGCGACTGGCGGGTTAGCCGTACAAGACGTGCGATGCTACGTCCAAGTTGGCTAGGATTTGACGTGAAATCCTCCTCTATCAAAAGCTGGGGTAGTTCCAAGTGGGGATTCTCATTCCGCAGAGTTCGTAAAAGACCGGTTGTAGCACCGGTCGCTGCATAGGAAGCGTCTGTTGCCAAGGGTGCTGGCGACACCCAGAGCAAGTAGTTCGCCTGAACCAGGGCGCGCATACATTCCATATCCGCGGGAGTCCAGTGGAGCGTCCATGATTGGTGCAGTTCCATCAGGGAAATGACCTGCTTCCCCTTCAACTTTGACACCTCATAGGGGCTTACTCTTTCCACCTGTCCGCCCTGCTCCTGGATTAGAGGCACAAGTTCCTGCAACAGAGCATCGCAAATGTTGGCTGGCTCGGGAGCCAAGACATAGAGGATGGGGCCTAGCATCGAAGAGGATTTGTTTCGGCGGTGGATAAGGAGTGCGTCTGTCTGCGTGACAATTCCGCGTACCTCCCAATCGGCATGTCTCTCGAGATTTTTGAGGACCTCATTTCGAATACCCATTGGGGTGGCCGCAGCTATCCAGCTATCAGGCTGGGTGGCCTTGTGGATATCATCCAAGAGGGGGAAATCCTGTCTACCATTCCACAGGTCGGGATGATCCAGCAGGATGGCGTCGTATGCTCCGTCGTCCGGCAATGAAGATCCTACCTCAGCCAGGGTAAGTACGGGTAGTACCTGGCAGTTTGGCAGTAATTGCTGAACACCCTGTGCCCGCGCAGCTGAATACTCTGGACTTACATCTATCAAGATGACCGTCAGGGACTGCAGCCGGGGTCGGTATGTGCCAGTTGCGACGAAATCTTGGAGAAGAGGCACCAACTGATCAAACCGCCTCTCTGCTGTCACCACCAACATGCGTGCATCGCCATGGGTATGGCAGACGCTCTTAAGCCAGGATGAGAGGGTACCATCGCAATGATCGGCCCAGGAGTCTACATGCTCGGCCCACACCAGTGACGAGAACCGGCTCTGAGGAGTGTTCTCAGCTGCAGCAGATGAACGGGACTGCATTGGAACCCGACCAAGTCGAACGCCCTGCAGCACGAGACCAGGCTGTGACCAGGTGGGGTGGGACGCAACAACCTCTGATCGAGAGTTGCCTCCTTCGTCCCAATGCGTGTTTACATGAATAGCAAATTGCTCCCCAGTTGAGGGTGAAAAGCGGGTGGACATGTAGAGGCGGTCTACCGCAATGGGTATCTGAGCATTCTGGTTAGAGAGTGCCTCAGAACAGGAGAGTACCGCAGCCTGGAAAAGCGAATCTAAGGATGATGGATGAATGAAGTATGGCGATTCTTGCTCATTGGGCATGGTACTTTGGGTGTCTGTCACGTTCACCGAGGCGTAGAGGCGAGACTGCGTTGGGTGAAAGAAAAGCCTCTGTATTGTTCGGAAGGTCGGACCCATAGTCACACCTCCAGTGTCAGACAACCAGCTATAAACTGCCTCACCATCGACTGCCATGTTGGCCGCGGCTTGAGTCTGTCGGGCCTGCTGGACCATCTGCGCCCAGTTCAGTGCGGTGGTGCTCTCCTCCATTTGCTCTTCCTCTCCCGCGTATTCAATGGTAAAGCTACCCTTTGCATGTTGGACCCAAGGGGATTCCTCCGGCCTAGAAAAGATGCCGAATTGGTACCAGCCAGCCACAGCATGAGGGGCGACTTGGAGTAGGATCTCAAGCCCGTTTTCCTCAGAACTAATAACCATGCCTCGGAAAAATTCCAAGTCATGAAACTCAATGCCGGCCAGGTTCGTAGAATCAGCCAATTGACGTGCAGCTTCAGCTACTATAGCCACCATACCGGCCGCAGGCAAGACAATAGAGCCAGCCACGACATGGTCAGCCAGCCATGGGTGCTCTGAGAGGCGTAGAAAGTTGCGCCATCGCGGCTCTATATTGTTCTGATAATCACATGCGACACCAAGCAGATCATGGCGAGCCTGGTTGCGTTGGCGTAATTGAGTTGATTCATAAGGCTCATGCCAGTACCTGGACTGATGATTCCAGGCATACGAGGGAAGGAGCGCCTGGCTCGGCCGTGGCGTATAGTCGCCTAGCAAGC